TCAGGTAGTCTGTCCTGGTTCTAGCTCCACGGACATTCAGCATCGCTTTGCCGTCTCCGACCTCCACGAACGCCTTCAGTCCTGAGTCCTCGTCTGTGAGGTAGTGCCTCGGGCACATCCTTGCCCAGTGCCCTTTCCGGCCGCACTTAGCGCACCTGTCATTGCCGTGGGAGCAGTCTTTCTTGCGGTGGCTCCTCATGCCACAGCTACCACACTTGTTGAAGCGCGCCCCGTCATCCGACGTATCCGAGTCAGATTCTTGTTCTCTCGAGTCAGATTCTTGTTCTCTCGTGGGCCACTTCATCGCAGCGAAGACCGGTCTCGCTCTCTCCGAGAGCGGCGCGAGCTTATGGAGGACCTCTATCATCGTTACATCGCCCTTCCTGCACTCGAAGTGGAACTCTTTCGCCCACCTGTTGTCTGCCGCCGCGCTCAGGATGGACTGTTGCAGCAGCATCCCCGGAATCGTGATCCTTGTGCCGTAACGGACCTGCAGCCTCGTCAGGCGGTGCAGCCGTGTCGGCAGCAAATCGTGGAGGGTTGGCACCTCTTCCGGCGTCGGGTAGACGCAGGACCTGAAGCACCGGCTCAGCAGAGTGCTGTCCGGGTACAGGGACCTTGCTACGTCCGACAAAAACCTTTCTACTGGCAACTCGCTACACCCATTCAAACGCGCCCTGACGGTGGCTGACATCCAAGCCTACAGTCTAGCTACCAGCGTTTCGTCGTGGATATAATGGCACTGCTCGCCGACAGCCGTCGCCACGTCATCCGCCCACTGCTAAAATTCCTCTTCTGTGACGGCGGTGAATGGTGGGAGGCGGCACTTCGCTAGCTTATCCTCCCAGGCCTGCTGCTCGAGTTAAGCTCGCGTACCGACTCTGGGAAGCGCCCTATATACGCATAGCCCACATCAGCGGCAACCAATCCAGCAGCTGTCGCCATTGTTGTGTCGAACTGGTCCGCTGCTGACGTGGTGCTGCCTGCGGCATACGAGGAGCCCTCGGTGTCGATTCTGCTAACTTGCATCGCTAGGTTGCTGACTCCCTCTGTATTTTAATATGGTGAGGTATTAAATAAGAAGTGTCCCCGAGTCACTTAATGCTTGATTGGTGATTTCTGAGGCAGAGAGCCGAGCGGCGATTTGGGTGACTCACGGCGCGCGCACAAAAGTGTGTGTACAAAACACGCGCACACATATTTTTCTGCGAGATGAATTCCACTTCTGACCTTTTTGAGTCAAGTGCAAGGGAAGCTGTTCTCAGGGAGAACAACAACTCACCGAGACGATGCTCTCGCCGAAGAGACTCAAACACAGAAAAACTTATCAACTGGTGGACGACGCCTGGGAAACGACGCAGAACTCCCGTTTGAAAGCCAGGGAACCGAACGGACCTGTCGTTCGACGCACTGGGGCTGGAACCTCTTTGGGACGCACTGGACTTCGAATTTGGGACGAGTACAAATCCGTTGCCTGATGGCAGGAGTCAATCACTGCGGCCCTGCTAAATTCAGACGATCCCATGGATCTGTTGGATTGGGGGATACGTATTTTCGAACAGCTTAGTGGCAGACAAATAACGTTTGCCATGTTCCGCGATTGGTTGGGGCCGAGATTGCCGGACACTACTCGGAGTTTGCTGAATACATGCAGGAACAGAGGTAGCCTGCAAACGACCTTGGTGGAACTGCTCCGAGCTAGTGGCAGGCTCATGGAGATCCGGAATTCGGTCCTGACAACAATATTCCAAGAGAGACAGGCGCGGACATGGGCTGAATTCAGGAGCATGCTAAAGAGAACCTTTTTAAGGT